AACAATTATAACAAAAAAAAAAAAAGAAAAATCACAAACTTAAAAAATGGATATGGAAAGAAATAGTAATGAAAATTGGAAAACAGAGTACTCTGTATATCCGAAATTTAAATGGATATGGAAAGAAATAGTAATGAAAATTGGAAAACAGAGTATTCTGTATATCCGAAATTCTATATCATCATACTATATTTAAAAGACAACAATTAAATATAAGTTGTTTTAAAGAACTGACATTTCACTTCATTGATATTTTAAAAAATTTGCAATAAATTGTGGCAATCTATCTTGTACTGAAACTTATTTGCTTCATATCATAAACATTGTTCCAAAAAGAAAGTTTGGCATGTGAAAGATACAATGTAAATTTTGGATGGCTAGCAACAAGCACTGATTCATACGACGAGAAGTGACATGGTTTAATATTACACAAGGAAAACGGTGCATTTTGAGCACATGCTAACCCTTTGAAAATGAAACAAAAGAGTTTGAGGACATATTGCAATGTTCACTAATAGTTTGGAAATAGTTGCAAAATAAGGCTGACAAAAGATGAACATAGAGTTGAACCAAAAGAAATTGTACAAACGGTTTGTTGTTGCAGGATGTTCAGGCATTTGTGCGTGGTTTTTGAAATGGCTTGACTTTACTGTCTTTTTTCTTGTACATGCTTGGAGTTGATGCACTGGGAATATCCGTTTGTGGCCGAGGTAGTACAAAGCATGGGTTGTTTTGAGATTGTTGTAAGCATGTTGAATGGTATGCTCCAATTGTGCTGGACATATTAACCTCCTTTTGTGGCTGCATAATTAGAAAGATTTGAAATTTAAAAGTTATGCAACAAATATTTTTTTTTTGTTATTTTTATTTGTGAAAAAAATGGATGGCAATAATGGGACCTGATTATCCATTTGAGAATGTCTGGTGCGGAATGGATTTTGCACAACATGTTTTTCTTTTGCATCTCCTGCAATCAATTTGATCCCACCGCCAGTACCTGGGTTGTCCGTGTTGTTCTTTACATCAAGTGTTTGTAAGTCAATTTGTTCCTCATCTATGTATAGCTTCAAGACTGAGTAAATGGGCACATGGCATTGGAATTTTCGTATAAAACATACAACACTTTTTCCATAGAGGTATGAGCGGATCTCCCCAATGAAGTCTGTCCCCTAAAGAAACAACATTGATGGTTAGAACATACGGAATCTGTATATGTTTTTTTCTATACATTAACTTCACATGAATTGAACTTTTCCTGCAAAGTATCATTTTTTTTTTAAATGCAGAAATGACAAGACTGTACATATGGCTACAATGATGTCTAGTGAAATTAGTGGCTAAATGAATACCTTGTTAAAAATACAAAACACAAGCACGTTGCAACTAAATATTGTAGAAATTGCAATAGAGTGTTTTTTTTGTAGCAGGTTGTGTAACCTTTGTATTTCTAACGCGGAGCTGTTCAACTTTGCCATTGATGAGTGCCTCTGCATCATTTCCAGAGACAATTGTTGATATTGCTCCAGTGACATCAGTTATGTCGAGAGGTAGCTGCAATCTGTTGTCAATTTAACTTTAACTGAAAATATGAACAAATTCATAACATGAATAGCTGCAATAAATATTTGTATTTAATTAAAACCTTGTTTGAAGCATATCGTTATGGTTACAAAAGATGCAGGTAGTTTGTGTTCTCGGTAGCTCCTCAATTTTTTTTTCACACCTGACACATACAGAAACCAAAAGGGGTTCCCGAACGTGTGACAAGCGAATGAAACCTTGAATCCATACAGTAGGCAGCTGTAAGAAATTGACAGTATCATTATTAATAATGGAATGATTCAGCTGTCAGAATAGAGCTATATAAAGGTAGTTAAATTGCATAAGTGTTTAAATTTTATTTACATCGTTCTTGTCCTCCAGTAGTGTGCGAATTGCGACTATTTTTTCTGGTGGTGGATGCGGCAGTAGGACGGATATGTTTTTATACGCTTCGGTTGAAATGAGGTGTGCCACTTCAGTTTGGTTTTGCAGATACCTATTTATTTAATAAGAAAAAGTTATGGAGTTGTATACATTTTGGGTAAAAACAAAGTTTAGAACCATTTATAACAACGTTTTGTTTTTGTGTACCATTCTTTTAGACTGTTTGCTTCAGCTGTTGGCGGATTAATGAGCACAGCACTGTGGGATCTTGTTGACAATGATATGCCTATGGAAAATATGCCATGAACTTTATTCTGAACAATAATTTTTTTTTAAACTACGCTGCACTAAGAAGGCAGGTAAAATGATTAGGTAGAACACTTACCGTTTAATGTTGTTACTTTAACTCTCATGGCAATTATGACATTCGCTTGAGCTATGTTGTTTGCTAGTTGGTTTCCCTCCCTTTGAGCAAATTCATTCCAAAGGGTGAGTACTATTGGTATTTTCCTGCACAAAAAATAATGGCAAAGAATTGAACCTTAACAGGTGATATTGCAAATAAAATAAGTTAGCAACGAAGACGAAAGACATACTCATTATTAATCAGTATAATGTCCCTAGCTAACAAAGTTGTTCCAATTTGCTTAGCTGGAAAAGCATGCACAACTACTGCAAAAACATCTGCCAAATGAACCAGGAATGTCACCCATGATAAAAAATGCTCTAATGAGAGTAGCTATTGTAAGTTGTGAGCTAAAAAATAAATAAAAAATTCAACATGATTATGGCTGCCAGCAAGCAGCTAGCCACGACACCTACTGTGGCAAACTTTATTGTCAGCAAACGTGTGAAGATCAATGAAGTCCCGTGCTTCAATATCGACAGCTAAGTGTGAGGGCACGATTGGTTCAGATGGTTGTATAATTGTTCTGGGGGTAATTATCCACGTAAACCCATTATCATTTACAGAATTCCTTTGGACCTGTCTAGCTAGGATCGCCCCGGATATATAAAACCATTTGAATGGAATCAATAACTGCGCACATGCTTGTATATCACTGTTGTATGCAACTGCTGAGACTTGTGTTCCCTTTACAAAAGAATGAATGAAAAAAAATTATATGTAGCCAAAATAGATTTTGTGAAAATAAAAATGAGCAGTTTCTCCACCCAAAAAAAAAAAAAGATACCTGAGAATCGAGTAAGAGAAATTCTTGCGACGTGTTTGATGGATCTACTTCACTGACCATTATCCGTCTCTTTTCTAGCACTTGAACTAATGCTATCCATCGGTTGACATGCGGCTTCACAGTCCGAACCAACATTTTGTTGTTCATTATCACCTGTTTGGTTTTGAAAGATTATAAATCGATAAAAATATTTAAACGTGCAACTTATAAAAATATTATTATTATTTTTTCAATTGTTTACTTGTTGGCAATATTGCAGACTGTAAGACTTCTGTGTAAACTATATTTTTTGTCCAATCTACGCGTTCTGCGTCGTTAAATTGTGGGTTGATCAGAAGTGTAACAGCAGCAGCTGTTCTAGCACGGGATAATGCAACATAAAGTTGCCCGTGAGAGAAAACAGGTTCTCGTAGGTAAATTCCAACTCGATTTAATGTTTGGCCTTGTGCTTTATTTATTGTCATTGCAAAACATAAGCGTATTGGAAACTGGGTACGTGTGTATGGAACTGGATATTGTTCTTCGTTCGGTGGTTCTAAAGGAATTCGATGCACAAACACATTTTTTCCTGCAAAATCGCCCACTGATATTTCTGCTTGAATAACATTCCTGCTCAATTTCTTGCAAATTAATCTTGTCCCATTGCAAAGACCTTCAGTGGGATCTAAGTTACGCAGCAGTATTATTGGTGCATTGATCTTTAGTTGCAACCTGTGAGGAGGCAATCCACTTGGTGTAAGTGAGTTTATTAGATCCTCAAATTCACCCTCGTATACAGGACTCTTAACTTTATCAAAACTAAGATATTCAGTGACATCACCAGGGAATTCCATGATGAGCTTATTGTTGACTTCATCAACAAAGCTGTTTTTGGTTGTCAAAATTGCATTGTTTTCTGATGTATCAAATGGTCCCTCTGATGTGATATTTGGAAAAATAGTAGTTATTAGTCTCTCTAATGCTCCATCATCCATAGGATTTGGCAACGTAAGCGATGATGGTATTTTTATTAAATTATCATCTATTGATTGTTCTTCTCCATTACCAATCCGCATCAGGTAATCAGTGTAAAAGGAATCTAAACGAGCTCGCATATTCTCTATCAACTTAAGTTTTTCTAGAAGAGGCCAAATAGGCGAGCTTATGATGCATGCATCTATAATGTCTTTTTTTTTTCCTTTACGAACAACAGGTAGCACCTGTCTAAAATCTCCACCAAAAACTATGATCTTACCACCAAAAAGGTTTGTGGAATTACATAAATCCTTTAAAATATCATCCAGTGCCTCGATAGATGTTCTTTTGGCCATAGGCGCCTCATCCCAAATAATCAATTTGCTTTCACGAATTAGTGAGGCGAGGGCACTTTGCTTACTTATTTTGCATAACTTAAACTCTGAGGTATCAATGGGTATTTTAAATCTCGAATGAGCTGTGCGGCCGCCAGGTAAAATGGATGCTGCAATCCCAGAAGTTGCATTTGCGAGTGCTACGCCACCCTTTGAACGAACCTCTGCAAGTAATGCTCTGTAAAGGAAGGTTTTTCCTGTTCCACCAGGACCATCAACAAAAAAAGCACCGCTTTTTCCTGCAGTGACACGTTTAATGATAATATCGAATGCTTTTTTTTGCTCTAAATTTAGCAAACCAATTGTTGCCAACTCTTCCTCAGAAACAACAATATTTTTCTCAGCCATCACCTCACGTGTGTTAGATTGAACAATAAAGTCCAAGTTAGGCGGTATTAAATTAAATGAGTGTATATTTTTCCCCATTGACTCCAGAAAACCATTTATCTGTTCTAAAACTTTACGCCTCACTTCACTTTGCGACATGCCTCCCAAGTTTAAAAAATTTTCGGATAAAGAATGCTCGAACTTTTTCCACAGTTCTCTTGGATTATTTGGGCTTGAATAAACCAACAAATTTGCGAATAATCTCCTCATCTCATATGGCATTTTATATTGCGATGCTTCTTGCAAACAAATCTCCTCACTATTGTTATCTTTCAAGAAACCGCGTATTAACGCCGCCTCACGAAAATTCTGTGCTCTTTTTCCATTGAAGTGCAAAAGATCTTCAAATGATTTTGGGCAACGAACTTTGGATAAAAGAATTCTAAGGTAGTATCTCTCACCTTCACTTACATGAACTGCCACTAATCTACCAATTGAGTCGCCATTGATTCTTTTTTTCCACTGCTTTTCATTTGCTAGCCAAACAAAGTGCTCTGGGAATTCAAGGTAAGTAAGGTTTAATGATTGAGCATACTCATCGGTTCTATTGAGATAAAAAAACTCGGTTAGCATGGTTTTTTTGTTTTGGGGATTTTGAACAACTCTTTGGAGTCGATCCTTCTTTCGAAATGAAATCCTTTGGTGGTTTTCCAAGTGAACTTGCAAGTGTATTACTGCTGGTTTAATCTCCCCTAGACTAAATCGAAAAATACGCCACGCAGCCTCTGGTGGTGAGATCCATCGAGCCGTTCTAAACTGCTCTATTTCATCAATTTCTTTATTTGGATTATCGGAATCTACATGGAATGCAATTCTATCATGTCCCTTGCATACGTATTTATATATATACTTCACAGCTTGTATGGAAGAACACACCTCAACATTAATGTGGCAGTTGAATTTTGCTAGCAAGAATGGATTGTATGGGATGACCCACCTGTTATCTAAATTATGCCCCCTAACTTTCACAACAACATCATTCCTCCTTCGTCTATACTGAGGGTATGCATCATTGACATGTGTGGTTTCATCACAAAATTTCTTTGGAAACAAATTTTTACATGTCCCCATCTTCTTCATACAGCTATTTGAAGGGTTCATTTCTCCACAAGGACCATGTAACATGTGTTTGACTACCATACTAAAGAGATGAGGTGTCTTGACTCTATCTGGAATTTCTGCACACACAATTTTATCGTACTCCTCTACTGTATACATCTTGAATTGCGGACCTAGAATCAGCAGGAAATGTGCATGTGGGAGGCCTCTCTTTTGAAACTCAATTGTGTACGTGTAGGCAACAACCTCACCGAAAATATTTTTTTTCAATATATCATTTTTTAATTCTTCTAGTTTGGCTCTGAAAATTCTTACTATAAGGTCTGGACGATTTTGTGTCTCTTCATTCTGCAATAGAAACTGTTTTATTTCAGGCCAATTAGGGTTGCAAGTCATGGTTAAGAAAATGTCCGGCCTACCAAATTTCTGCACTAAGGTCATTGCGTCCATATATCACCTTTTCATGTTACGTGGGCCACCAATAAAACCTGAGGGAAGATAAATACGTTGTCCCACTTGAGATGCTTCAGTTTCACCGCTAGCTAATGAGTCCTGGACACCTTGCAAGAATTCGGACCTTATTTCTAGTTGTTGCAGCTTGTAAAAATCCAGCCTTTGGGATTCAATTTTGACATAAATGTCGACTATGAATTGCTGGAAAAGTCTACCAAAATTTAGTAAGTAAGACTCGTCGTTGGGACGCATTTGGAGTTTATAGGCATAGTACTGACGCATAGAAACAAATTTTTGTTCATCCGGAACACTCGCCAGTGCTACATAACGAAAAACAAAATTGTCATGACACGTCAATTTTAACACCACAATTTTTAACCTGAAAGGTAAAAATCATATAGCTAACCTTGTTGCTCTCTATGAAGCAACTCATCTGCACTTGATGCGCAGTACGGCGAGACTGAAATCGTAGATACACACCTACGACTCTTTCTCCGTGGCATTTTTGTCTGTAATTTTTCTATACCCTGGTGCCATCCTGGTTGACCTAAAGGGAATATTAATGGATATTGAAGGGGATCATAACATCCATAATAATATTGGATCCTATGTGAAACTCCTCCAGAACCAAAGACCTGAATATCACGCTTACACGGCTCTTCATCTCCCTGGCCGTCAACCAAAAGTGCAGCTACTTCTGATTCACTTGGCAAATTATAAACTCGTTGGTCCAAGCGAGAAACAGTTTTTAGAATTATCCTACAACTGTCCAGATTATTCAAACATTTGAGATTTCTGAAGAACTTAGCATATGGATTATTGTGAAGGACCTGGATTATCTTTATAGTTATTGATTCAGTTAGCCTTGGACAGGCATGCATTCTATTCGCCAACTCGTGGTCTGTGTCATAAAAGTATAATTGCAAGTTTTTTGCAGACTCTAATGGTGGAATAAAATGATACATTTGTCCTTGAATTCTGAAGGTATAAATTCCTTTGTTTCTTTGGCTCAGCTCTTGATCATATTTAACGCCCAGTGAGGTGAATGCAAATTGGTTATTTATTGTACGTATGCAAGTTCTGAACAATTTAGCATCGTCTGTTGAAGAGAACAAGAGGTCTGCCAAGATTGGATGAATTTTATGCTGAACAAGGCTAACAGAACCTTCAGAACAACAAAAGTTTGTTGTTTCGCCTTTGATTTTTATGGCATAACAGTAACCGCAGTTACGCCGTGCACGTAGCTTTGATGGTTGGGATGGTATTATTTTCAGTAGCTTACGACCATCCGTTGAAGAATTTCCTATAAGAAATGGTGTTGAATATTAGGCTGATTACTGATTTATTCTCTAAACACTAAGGTACCGAGCAGGTGCGCGAATTTTTTGTACATGACAACTACCTGAATGTTGACGAACAGGTGGCACACTATTTCTTTTTGTTCCTGTGGTGTCTATCATGGAACAAACAAAATAACATTAGTATAATAGAGGACCCTAGAAGCACGAAGAAATTAAATGCGAACCACCATGGGTGCACCTGGTGTTTTGACGACCTTGCCTCACATGATGGGTAGGTTGTGGGGAGTGATTGGGTTAAAAGGTGCCCGTGAGAAGTAGAACCAGCGTATCGCTGTTTGCTCCGATAATCAGAAACGAAACTAATAGAGGTAACATTATTGAGACATGTACGATTAGCCGGTCCATGAGAAGAGGATGAATTTTCCTGACATAGTTGTTGGGGTGTCATTGATTGGGTAAAATGTGTTGCTCGAGAGGTAGTGTCAACATATGGTTGCTTTCCCCTAGAATCCGAAGTTAAAGTAACATTGGCAGTATTATTTAGGCAGCTATGATTAACAGATGTATCCAAAGAGGATGGACTTAG